CTGGCACTTGTTCAAATCTTTGCCTTACTCAGTCCTGTGAAAAGAGAATCTCTCCCCAGTGGAAATGTACCATTTTCAGAGAAATACAATTACTCTTCTTCCCTATAAAAATGCACTTTCATAATTTACATTAAACGTAATTAAATAATGTAATTAAATTGTTGCGGTAACTAGTTTATCTCTGCATGTTACTTAGCTCCAGGAATGCTGAGTATATATTTGCAATCCTGACTGAACAGAACCGTGCTCATTGCAGAATCTTGCCATCTCAATTCAGGCTAAGATGTTTGTTCAAGTTCACAAGAAGTTTCACAAAATAAGGGGTGTAGAGATATGTGAAAACAAACCAGCAGATGTGACTGAGGTATTATATAATGGCAAACAGAATTTAATAAACATTTTAAACAAACAGGCTGCAATGACACCTAAGAGAAAATAAACAAGAACAAAAGACAGAGAAGACCAAAGCAATTTGTAAAGTGGTCTCTTCTACACAGAAGGGTCAAATTTATTCATGCGAATAAATGACTTCAATATTTTCTTTTATATATAATATAAACTTAATGGAAATACAAAATGTTGCTATGGGTTCTTATTCAGCTATTTATAATAATGAAATAGAGATGAATTTGTATTTGGTGCCGCAAGAGAAACAGGCATTATTTGTGATAGTTACAACTGGAGCCAAACCTGACGGAAGTTAAAGGAAAGATGCCTATTGCTTGAAATAGCAGCCAGACAGTTCAGGGTCTAGACTATATGTGTAGTCCCAAAAGTATATTACTACTTTCATTTCAGCCTAAAAAAGAACACTTCATTCATCATTTTATATAAACACTTTACCTCCCTATATTCAGCTTTGCCCCAGACTTACGTTAGAATGTTGCATGGAACCATTTCTCCTACTAGTATGCTTGTGGCTCCTGCGTGCATGGGTTATAAAACAAGAGATTCTGTTCATATTTAATATCTCTTTAATCCTTTCCAAATAATTAAAGCAGTTCCCTGCATGCTTGATCCTACCTGATATGCAGACACTGAAAGGCAAGTGCTGGGAAATATATTCACTGGAGTGGCTAACTGGCATAACCACTGGCTAATACTCCAGCTCAAACTAGCCACTCTTATGGACTGGAGTGCCAAGGCTTCATTTTATCTCAGGTTGGCCTGTTCGACCTGATTCATGTCCGTTCCCACAGATAACTTCAAGACTTTAGTGTTATTAATTAATTAGTCAATACACTAGTAACCAAAAGGTAAAAAAAAAAAACAAAACAAACCTCTTACTTCTGCATGCAAGTAACTCACAAGCTACAGGATTTGAAAACTTTGGCCTGTAACATAAGCAGGAGCTGAGAAGAAATCATCTGTCTGGGGAATTTGGCACAGTGAGTTACGCAGTGCTGATCCATTTCCTCAGCGGCAGGGCACCTATCTCCCTAAAAGCCTGAAGGCACCTAGAGGAATTAATATTAAAACTTGACAGGGAACAGAGAAACCATCTCATCCTACCATGTCAGCTCTCTGCTTTGAAGGTATCTAGGAAAAAATAGGGTGCTGCTGGTGACTCTCTTCCTTACTTTGTGAAGACAGGCCTTTAGCAGAGCAATCCATTCACTCTTTTATTATGTTAATAAAATGAAAATCTAAAAGAGCCCAGTGACTGCTCCGTTTCATACAGATAGCTAAACTGATCCCAGCATCTTCAATCCTAGTCAAGAGAAACATAGGAAAGCTACATTTGTATTATCCTCTTTGTGAGCTGCCTCAGCGGAGCTCAGTCACAGCCCTTAATTAACATCCTTCCATCCTATTGCATCTTAGATTTATTCTCTTCCCTGCAGCTTCAAACTGGATAAAACAGAATACACCTGCAAAGGGAGGACTAACAGCAATCACCCTGCAACTCCCTGCAGAGATTCAAGAGCAGCTAAGGGCTCCTTTATATTGAAAAAAATATATGATCAGCTTAACCAACAAAATATGCTGTTCCACTATATCTATCTACAAACAGCTCCCCAGGTTGATGTTCTTCTATTCCAGGACAAAAGTGACTTTGACTTTTTTACTCTACTGTCTGATAATTATTCTGGAATAAAATCAGTTTTTATTCCAGAATAGAGTTGCCCATCAGGGAACCATTTCAGCATAGATAACTGCATTAGAGTAAATGATGGCAGTGTATGAAAGACAATTTCCCAGCGCAGAAAGCCTGCTATCTGAGAACTGCAACCACTGACCTATTTTGCTTAAAGTACTATGGCGATATTTCCACATGGGCATCCAGTTATTCACTGAAATCAATAAGAATCTGTGCTACACAGAAATTATACACGGAAAAAAATGGAAGTGGATGATAGGTGGAAAGAAGTGGTCTTTTTGTAGCATTTGCAACATAGGAATTGATTTCACAAACATGCTCATCCAAGCAATGTAGTTCATTCACTAGACTGTCAGCTCCCATCAAAGAGTCATTCTTAACTTAAAATCAGCATGCCTGTAACAGAAACAAATGAACGGAAAAGAGCAGAATAGTTCTTTAGAAGCAGCCCAGCTGTCTCATGCATCCGACACTCCTACATACAAATGTTTTCATTGAAGGGAGAAAAAAGCACAAACCTTGAAGCTGAATACCATAGTTTAAAATCGCCATCAACCTAAATACGTACCATGAGAACACTGTATCCTGAGACACTAAGCACATTCCCAGAGAAGACCACACCAAAAAAGGACACTTCTGAAGCTCCTATAGTTAAAGAGTAATGTTCCTAACGGAGGATTTTACAAAGCAATAAAACACTTTACTAGGTAACTAAATTCTCCTAAGTTGGCTTTTGGTAACTGCATAGTTTATTACAACGACAGCTGTCCCCAAAAGATCAACGAACTCTGCGTTGACTACAAGAAACATTACTGTATCTTTTGCTTCTCTGAAAGCTAGTGAAATACTGAATGGGTTTGAGAGGAAAAAATCAAAACAAAACTGATTTAAGAGAAGAAATAAGCTAGTATTCTAGTAATTAGTGTGATATTAGTGTAACATGATATGAAGGGTCAAATTTTGCCTTTAAGAGCACAGTTAATCTCACTTATGTCATAAAGTCCGCTATAGTGCAAACCTGCAAAATTTAGCTCATTTAGTGTACATGAGAAATTTGCTACCATTTATGGTAGATAACATCTGGTTTCCCTGATCTGTGGAAATTAAAACCTTGTTGTTCAACTGACAGTACAGAAGAGTTAGCATACAACGGCACCTTTGTACAGAAGGGATCATTTCTTAGACTATAGCTCTGTACCTGTGATAAGCTATTTTGAACATAAGCAGAAGAGAAACAATTTCTGTTTTCTCTGATTTAAAAAAAATAAATCCTGTAATTCTATGCTAAATCACCTTCTTATGCCAGCCTGGAAAGAAATTTAGTTTCAGCTTACAAATTTTGTTTCCCCTGACTCTAAGAAGGTATTAAAAAGAGATAAATATACCTAATGGTTTTGATAACAGTTACTAGAAAAGTGTTATTAAAATAATACTAACAGAAAAAAATATTCTTCCTCTGAAATCATTATGGCAGTCTAACTGCTTGAAGAAGTAAGATAAAAAGGTCGATTATTAATAAAATCTTAACAATTAACCAATACAATTCCCAGTTTGTAAAAACGAACTCTATAAGAGTAAATATACCAAAATAACCCACCATTTGCAAGTGGAGGTAGAGACTCTAAAACCTGCATTTCTCACAGCATCGTTAGTCCAGCAAAAACCTACCATAACCTCGTTAAAAGATGTGACCACCTCCTATTGAAAATGAAATGACAAGGCAGATGAAAAGTACAGCACGTGCAGTGTTCAGAGATCTGAACTGAATGATGAATGAACATTGAAAGGTTTTCGCCTTTTTTTTTTCCCCCCAAGACTACAGATACTGTTTGTTTTTTTTTTTTTCCCAAGAGTTAAATTCAGAAGGGCATCTTAGATTTTGTTTTTTAGACATTAAACCTTAAGGTACTCTGCCACCTAGTAGAATTTCTAACCTGAAAATTGTCTCTGCACTCCCTACACTTGTAGTTTTCAGCTCACGTCCCACATACCTCTAAATACTCAAGGAAAGTAAGCCTTTTGCTGTTAAGGGGTACAACTCCCCTATGAATCAATTTCAACTTAAGGATCTGCAAAACAAGAAAGGTGGGAAATTATTGTTCCCTAAAACTCATGGAGGTGTTAGCAGCCTGGAATAAGATCCACAAGAGACAGAATATTGAGCAAAGGTTACTCAAGCTTCCCTCTAGGAAATTCTGAGGAAAAGCATGCACCTACTCTCATCAGGGGTCTACAAGCATGGGCCATGAGCACGGAACTAAATAGAAACTGGTTTCCTTGGGATTAAGTTCTGATGATAGAATTCTTTGGAATCTACCAATATATAAATGGTTTTACAATTTTTTAACCCAAGGCCACAATACCTAAAGTTTCTCTGTCCATTCTGGATTCTATACGCTCTAATAAAATAACGAAGACCACATTGTACAAGCTCGGAACGTTCTTCTCTACCTAGTCACCTATTTTAATGAAACTTGCAGAAATGCAAGTATTTCAAAGTATCTTTGAAATTGTTACACCCAAACTTAGCTGAAAGTAGTTAACAAGTTCCAAATTTATCATCGAGGACTGACAGGTTTAAGCACAGGTATGCACACACAGAGACATTCACAAAGCAGAACAGCATAAGCCTCACTTTATTAGGAACCAAAGCTGAAGACACTTAAATATTCCCTGCAAAAGTGACAACCTACCCGCTCTCCCACAGCACTGAAATGGCAGCTAGTTACCTTGGTTTCTGCCTTTGAGACCAGCCCTAGGAGTTCTGATGTTTCACCCCCAAATATAAATTAAGTAATCAATTATTTACTAAAAATGACTTTGTTCTCATAGCATACATTGAACATTGAGAGCATCACACTTGCAATAAATGCACATGCAATAGGTTATAGTCATATACCATGATATATGGTGCTGCTGTTGCTGTTGAGATACGATTCAACCAATGGCGCTTGTTCTTCCGAATGTTTCATTCTGCGCGTTCTTGTGCGACTGTCCACATTGGACTGAACCATTAATGGCTCTTGACGCTTTTTTTTCTGCTTCTGTTCTAGCAATGCTCGCTGAGGGAAATGCAAAGAAAAGTATTTGTTACTGGACTCTGAACAGCAGCAATCTCTGGTGAAACAGAACGGATAGCTTTACACCTTCTACAGTTTTCCAGTGGCAAGAACATGCAAGTGGGATACCGGGTATCACGTTATACAAAAAATTCAAAAAAAAATAATTCACTACTAAAACACCTGCTGAAAATATCAAATAATTAAAACAGACATTTCTGAGCAGTCTACCAGCTGTCAGAGCTCACTTGGAAATAACCCTTGTGAAAACAACAGTGTGAGGGCACTGGCTGTGAAGCAATGGGAGGGTGAGCAAAGGCACAAAGGTGCCAATTTAAGTTTTTGTAGATCAGGAGCAGATAATCTGTAAACTAGAATCAAGTGATAAGACTGGACATGAACCTAATTTAACGACTATACAAGCTAAGCTTTAATTAAACACTTGAATTTCTCAGTTATACCTGATGAAAACCAAAGCAACACTGATGGGAGGCAGGAAATTATCCTACCAGTCGTACAAGTCTCTTCTTCCAGATGCTTTGGTTCAGCATCTCATGGCACCACAGGGACTTCTCTGTTTGAGCCCTTTTCCATAACCTCAGAGAACTGAACTGGTAATTTTAATTATCCATTACCTTACTGTTTCCCTGCTCCTGTGCAGGGATTTTTCCTTTTAGAATGGAGATGCACTAAAACTGAAGAACAAGAATGGAGGCAGGACTCTTTCAGCTCCATGAGTTGTGTGGAACACTCCAACGTGACTTCAGAAAGGTCAGAATCAAGTTCAAAATTGTGGCATAAGAAGAAAGTATTTGAATTTGAAAATGACACGCAGGTTGATAGACATGCTGATGGCAGAAGAAATGGATATAATAACAGAAAACTAAACTCACAAGGCTTAACTGTAAACATCACAAAGGCTCACAGAAACAGGGCCACAGAAAAATCAAAGGTAAAGTGGAATCCCTAAACCCTATTGAAACTTAATGGCAAAATTCCCTTAGATTTCAGATGAGAATCATTTTGTTGAATAAGTCACGTAGGAATACAGCAGCAAATAGACAACACAGCACAAAATACGATTAGTTTACAGCCACAAAGGCTAAATCCAGGCAATGAAGAAGAAAAGATGTAAAAACTTGGTGGTAAATTTCTGTTAGTTAACATGCCTGCCAGACCCTCTTGTCCTTTCTGGTCCCTTCAGATGGGCAACACGTTGCAAGTCAGCTTAAAACAATCGCTAGGCAGTGGAAGTGAAAATCACTTTAACTTCAGTCATAAGAAAAATCTCAGGGGAAGTTAGACTTCTAATATAAGCTGTAACCTTCACAGACCCCTCTTTTGCATGCCCTAACCAGTAGATGTAATTTTCTGGCAGGATACATCTATCAGTATATACATCAGATATGTGTCAGCGATTTCCCTGCTCCAAGATCTACACTTCAGAAAGCAAGAAGCGTCCAAAATCTTACCTGCCTGTCAAGCTTCTGCTGACGCAAAGTACTCCCCTCATCATCCAGAACACTGCAAAGACAAAGGGTAAACAATTAGGAGTTTATCACTCAAATCAACACCAAACAGCAATCACTGCAGCCAATTCTTGCAAGATTTATTTAGGAAAAAACTTCCACTATGTTCCATGGAAGTCTGCCTGCCCTAACTCACAGAAGTTGGCTGAAGAGAATTCAAATGCAGTCCATGAAAAAAAAGAAAAACTCTGGTTCACATAAACTTCAAAGTTTATATTCAGCCAGATCACAAAGAGATGCAAAATCCACAGTTCAAAGCTTGCTTTCTTCTCCACTGCTCTCTAATGAAAACGTCAATGTATACAGCAATGACGTTTGACTGAAAATTGGCATATAAAGCATGTAAGAAGTGAAGGGTGTTAGGGAGCTGCTTAGCAAATCAGTAGTATTCAAAATTGCCTTAGGAATATTAATTGTCTAATCTTTTGCACATTGAAACCCAGAATTTATTCCTGAATATCTGAAAAGTCACACTTATTGCTATTTAGTTCGACTTTTGACTGGCAAAACAAACAGTACCGCGCACTGCCATATTTCATTTCTTCAAATTGTTACGAGTTGGGAGATTAGCTCCTGCCACATTCAATCATCTCCACTAATTAAATGTTAAAAACTAATGGCAGTGAAATGAGAAAATTATTATTATTATTTTTTTTTTTTAAGTATTTTATCAAACCACTGACTACAATTTATTTTTCCAGAGAACAAAGGTCTCTATATTGTAAGAACATTATGGTTAAACACTGAACATAGATAATTAAATCTTTTAAACTATATCATATCAACTGCAAGGAAAACAGTGCACAGAAAAAGGCCTCTTACAAGTGGAATTCATTTAATTTCCTCTTACAACACATTCTTTTATAAGATTAATCCTTTTTTATAATCACTCTTAACTAAAAAGCAAAACAAAACAATCCAGGACAGCCAAAACTGGCTTCTGATTTAAATACAACTAAACTTTAGTGCAACTGAAATGTCATACATATGTGACTTCATACATATTAATATACATGCTCTAGAAGACAATCAGCATTACAGTAAACAGGAGATCTAAAAAAGGCATACAGAATATCATTTTTCAGACACCAAGGTTATTAAGACCTGTAATGAGGCATTATTGGTAGCATCAGCCTTTCATAATTTATACAGTGGTTACATGTTACAAGAGGCTGATGCTGCACAGAATGAAACTACAATCTACAAGTACTTGGAATATGAAATTTTGTGGTCTCTTGTAGAGGTAATGCTTTATTTTTAGTCCACATAAGACTTGAAGTCAGAATTAAGGATGTTGATGCAAGTCTTGGAGGAAATAAGAAATATCCTAGTTTCCTAAGACAGAGGAAATCAGCAGCAAGATAGTGCTAGACTACAGAAAAGAAATAAACCCACAAAAATGTTCTACTTTATACCAAGTATTCTTCATTTGATAGATTACAAAAATAAGTTATGAAAAGACGATACATATTACTCCATGGTATATGTATTGCAGCTATAATGAAGTACTCCTGCGGAAAAAAAAACCCTGATGTTGTATAAGCTACACTGTTAGAAAGTGAAACTCACCGCACAGGTACCTTAGGCCATTGAATAACAGATGCATAAGTTTAACGTTTCAGGCTTAATGGCCTGAACAAAACCTCCTCGTTTAAGATAATGCTGGGGGGCGGAAGAAATGATGTTAATCCAGACCATCAGAAATGCAGAGGCAGCAATGTATATACAACTCTGTGTTACCCCGAGTGGTTAAAGGCCAACATCGCTTCGTTCCATCAGTTATTTGCACAGCTAAGGAGAGATGATCTCTCATGTTCTGTTTTATAAATCAGACTGTGCTGACTCCTTCAGATGATATGTTAAATGAGCTATATATACTTCTCAGACATTCCCATACATCACGAGTTCAGTAATTATCTTCTTATGAACATAACGCTTTCAGTAACATGCTGGATCGGCTGTAATTCTAAATTCTCTATCATGGATGAGGTGACTAAGCACTCAGAACGTCTCTGGTTTCCTGTACTTTGCCATCATACAGTATCCAGGCATAATGCACTGCATGGAACAAGACAGCAGTAAAATGTCCTCAATCCTGTTCTAAACCTTATCTACAATCCCCCAGCTAAGTCACGACAAGCTAAACTCAGGTTTCTGTAAACAAGCACAGCTCCCTCAGATTTCTTTATGCCTAACCTCACCGTTCTAAATACGGCAGTTTTAGTAACACCACAGCAAACACGAGCCAGAAGGGTGCGATTCGCATTGATTCAGCATTCCACAAATGCCAAGTGACTATCAGACGTATTGAAGGAGCGCCAGAAAAACAAATCTCCATCCAAAAGCTGGGATGCCGTACTGCTAAAACACCTCTCCATATTGCCTTTCTACTGCAACACATTGTGTTTAAAGCCTCTGAATATATGCCATCACAGCTGAGACCCAAAGCAGTGCACCAGAAGCTTACAACCTCTTTTGTAACTTCCAAGTCCTTCTTTCTGTGACTTGATATGTTATAAACCTCTAGGTTGTTTTCCACAATCCTTTTGTAAATACGCATTAACTACAAGCCTTGTCCTTCTATTACTTAGGCTGCAACCTTCAACAATTAAAACTGAACTCAAGCTTTCTTCACTGATACGGAAGTTGAGTGGAAGACAGTTATTTCAGCCATACTATTTCCCTCTGAACTGGCCAGTCACACCACACTTCTAGGGCCTTTTCTACACTGTGAAGGATTCAGAAAATAGTCAATTACCACCAGATCTGTTTATTTTAACAGTTACTCAGGGCCAGCATCACTGAAAAGGTGCAGTTCTGTCCTTTCTTGATACCTAAATAATCCTCAGGCAAGCCCAAAGAAACGATCATTTAGCCTATATCTTCTGTTATAATAGCAAGATACCCTAGTTTGAGACCATGTACTTTGTTATTACTCTCCATGGGACTAGTGGACCTCGGAGCTACTGATTAAAGCCCAGTATTTCACATTCCCTGATTTTCAATTTAACAACTCTCCCGAGGCTGGGGGGCTCCTCAGGCTTACCATGAAGAGATCTCAGACTTTTTTAAAAAACAGCTTTGTTTCCATAGTGATTGCATCAGGCCCTCATTCTTGCTGCCTTAAAAACACCTGCTGGGGACTCTGAGATGCAAGTGTGTTAGCAGATGTAAATGTGTTAGCAGCGCTTACATGACCCTTTCTCAGACTCAGATGAAAGCCTAGCAGAAAGATCTAGCAGACATTTTTGCCATAGTGTCTGCCAGTCCATGTACCCTGGCAGATGCTCCAGGCTCCAACAGCTAAAATACAGAAAACTTCTCCTTTCCATTCCCTGGGAAAATAGACAAAACGGATAAAAGTCTAGGAGCAGAAGCTGAGGCTTTGCCCTTCCTGGTCTCTGGAAAGAAGAGAAACCGATTGCTCTTCCCCTGAAAGAAGGGAAGCAGAGCAACAGCATTTTCTGTGCCCCAGGCTGCGTCCGTGCAGAGGACCCAACAGCTACAGGTACGGTTTCTCAAGTGGCAATGGTTTTGTTACTCAGTGGTCAAAATGACTGGCACGGACAGAGACTAACGGCACAGTACGATGGGAAAACTGATAGCTGTAACGTGGCAGGATCACTACAGGAAGCAATCTCACACAGCGTGAGGCTATTAAAACAATTCTGGCTGCATTTGATGCAATGTTAGAAAATCCCAGCAGCAGCATGAAACTAAGTCAGTTGTAATACAGAAATACAATTTTATAATTCATAAAAGTTAAATTATTAAGGAGAATACATACATGTTAGCAATCTGCTGAAGCAACCTGAAGACACAGCAAGGTTCACCCTTACTCCTATTTGATCAAGTATCACTTATCTACCAGGCATCTTTGCTATGGCTTTGACCCTGCTTAAAAGGGAAAGCAATTTTACACTGCATATAATATTGTAAACAGTACTGCAGGTTTGCAGTAATACAGACTAGTCCATATTCAGTTAACTAGTCAGACCTTGTACATATTCACTCGTAGACAATTATTCAGGAAGACCCATCCACCCATGCTCAACTCAAGTAACCCACCTATTAGAGCTTACTGTATGTTTGGCTTAAGAAGAATTCCAGCCTATAGTTACATATTTTAGAGATTCACATTAGCAGCTTCATCCAAGGCCCACAGAGACTTGAGTACTAAATTTAGAGTGCATTATTTTCAAATTTTAAACACGGCATTTTATTCAGATATCCCCACTTCCTATTTTCCACGTGGAAAATATATTAAATGAACAGTCATCTTTTTGAACCACTTTTTAAGAAAAAAACTCTCTTTTGCAGAGAAAAGTTCAAAATTAAATTCAATTTACACAAAAATAACCAAGCTTTCTAAAATGTTCCATATCATAATGAAGATAAAAATATAAGCACATATTTTAATATTCTGAGCTCTTCTTCAGAATCGGCATTTCTTAAAAAACATTTGGATAGAAACCCCAAAATAATCAGCTTTTAAGGATAAAAGCTAAAAACAATTACATGAAGCGCTTCAATTTATTTCTGAGATAAAGGCAGGAGTTTCTGTAAATCAGCCTCTTATTACATTTACTGTAATTCCACATAGGTTTATTTCAATTTCAGTAAAACTGGAAAAGCCTTGATTCAAATAATAACACATTTCACAGCAGTTACTTCAACTTTTCTCTTCAAACATGCAAACTGCTAACACTTCAATTAACCATTTTAAGAAAAAAAAACAAACAAATAATGAGACATATTTTTGATTAGAATATCCAAAATGCATGAAGAAGCCTCTGACACGCTAAAGCAGCTCTATCATTTCTGCTTGGCAAATGAGGCAATGTACTTTTTCCTTGCTGACACTGCTTCATAAAGAACATCTTCCTTGACATTAACTTTTTATCAAGAGAAAGGTGCAAAATCATATCCATCACATCTTCGGAGTCCAGCACTGACTGCAATGAGAAATGTTCCTGTTCAAACAAGATTACACTT